ATGGGATGGGATGGGATGGGATGGGATGGGATGGGATGGGATGGGATGGGATGGGATTGGGACCTGGCACTGCGTCCTTGTGAGCTCTGAGTGGGTTTTGTCCCTGCTCATGATGCTGAGAGCCTTGGGGATAGCTGAACACCCAGCATGGAGTGAACAGGTGTGTGAGGTGTCTCTGGGAGCACACAGGTGTGTGAGGTGTCCCTGGGAGCACACAGGTGTGTGAGGTGTCTGTCAGGGCACACAGGTGTGTGAGGTGTCTCTCAGAACACACAGGTGTGTGAGGTGTCTCTGGGAGCACACAGGTGTGTGAGGCAGTCTCCACCTGCTCCTGGTGAGGCTGGATCTGCTGTCAGCTGTGTGCTCTGAGCAGAGCCCAGCCTCCAGCACTGTTATTTTTATGTCACCCCACTGGCACTCAGGCTGTTTTCACGGGGAGGAGAAGCCAGTGGGTAAATTTTACCTCCTGTGCGTGTAGAGGCTGCAAACACTTGCACAATTTCCTGTGAGATAGCTGGAAATTCTTAGTTCATCTCTTTTCATTCTGTAACTCCCTCCCTTTTCCCTCTGCCTGCTCTGTGGATACCTCTGATACATCACCTTGCTGTCCATCCTCCCTGCTCTGCTCCCAGCCCCCTGCTCTCCTCTGTGTGCTGCTGAATGCACCCCAGCCCCGGGTGGGATGTGGGGCAGGACAGGGATGTGGGGTAGGACAGGGATGTGGCTGGGGACTGTCCTGGCTCTCCCACCAAGGCTTGTCCTGCCTAACAGCCGAGCCTGGATCACTCTGGCTGAGCACAGCAGAGCTCAGCAGAGCCTCCCAGATTTATAACCACAGAGCTGGGTGCTTTTCATGCTGATCTGGGGGTCCTGCTCTCCTCATCTGTGGCACTGCACAGTGCAGGCAGGAGGCTTTCAGTGGGACACCCAGGGTATTTTGGGATAAAGGAACAGCTGGGATACCCAGGCACTATCTGGAGCAGAACCATGCCAGTGAAGGGCTCTTGGTAGAAATAACCCAGCATTATTTTTTCCCAGGGTCCAACATTCATGGAACCAACTCCCCGAGCAGAGAATCAAATGCAGAAAGAAGCAACAAGGCTTTGGCAGTGATTAAAATACTTTCAAGCTGGATTGGGAAGATCTGGCAGTGCTTGGGAGATTGTGGAAGGTCGTTGTGGCTGGAGCTGGAGCATCCTCAAAAATCCGCCTCACCTCTGGGCAGCAGTGGAAAACATGGATCTGCCCTGGCAGATTCCCACTGTTCTTCCCTGGGATCTGCCGATGGAGCTACTCCCCCCTCTCTGCTGTTCCACTACCAGCTCTCCCAAGTTTCCCTGGAGGTAAGGATGAGAAACTGAATCTGCTCTGGAGGTTCATTTGAGCCTTTTCCCAGGCTCTGCTGCTGCAGATGGGGCTGGTCTGGGGGAGGCAGATTTACAAACTGCAACAAATTGGGGTAAGGAGCCTGCCCCACAGTCCCAGCAGCAGCAGGAGGGCTGGGAGAAACAGCAGGGAGAGCACCAGACCAGACAGGGAAACAAAAGTGTCTCTGCAAAGAGAAAGGGGGGGATCAGAACTCTTCTTTCCCCTCTCCCAAAGTGATCCCGGGATCCCCGTCCTGCCCACAGCCTAGGGCAGGTTCCTGCAGCTGGAGGCTTTCCCCTGGAAGAAAAAGATGATCAGAGCAAAAATTTCTTGTGTGAAAGGCTCTCTGCTGAGCTGTTCCCTGGGAAGGTGAAGGGGCCGAGCCATCCTGCAGCTCCCACCACACTTCCCATGTGCTCATTCACTGGGAAAGTGGGGCAGGGGACCACGGCCAGGTTTTGCCAGGGAAATTTTACAGAAAGCCACAAAATTCCGTTTATTCTTGGGTGGGATGAATCATTTCCCAGTTTTTACGCTTCAGCTATTGCTGCCTCCTCTAAATGTAAATAAAAATTGGCTATGGGATGATGCCCTGTTCCTGCATTTGTTTCTGCACAGCTCCAGCTCAGCTGCTGGTTGTCCCCATGGGCACCTTAAGTTATAACACGCTGGTCCTGAGACAATTAATTCTTGTGAAGTCCTTACTCAGGCAAAAAAAAAGGTAAAAAAATCACTTTGTGGGGCTCAGGTCGTGGTATTAATATGCAGATCCCTGAGCCACTGGTGACAGCAGAGCGAGAGCTATGGGTCAAGTCCTTTTCTTGGTCTGACCTGCTTTTATCCCACTGCCATCAGTGGAACCCTCTAGATTTCCACTGTGATAGCTGGTGTGCAGCTGACGCAGCTGAGAACAATATGGGCCAGAACAGAATGGTGGGAGGTCATTTTCCTCACAGAGCTTTGCAGAACAGGGGCTGCTCCTGAGCTAAAACTGAAATGTAAAGTTTACAAACAGCCTCATGAACAGCCCGAGCAGAAGAATTTGTCCTGGAACAGCAAAAGCCATTCCTCCTTTTTTTTTTTTTTTGCTTTTTGTTGAGAAGCACCAAAATTTCCCTTTTGCTTTAGCAAGTGCTTCCAGTTCTGTGCCAGACCCCCGTGGAGACCAGTGAGAGCCCATTGTGTGCCGCAGGTATGGGGTCAGCCACGGCTTGTGGGGGCTGGAGAGTTTTGCATCTGTATGTGTGTCACTGTCCTGCCCGTGTCCCCATCCATCTGTCACTCCAGTCTGGGGAGAGCTTGTGTGCCTGGGCACGTCCCCTTTTCTGTCAGGGGCTGGAAGTGCTCCTCTCTAAAGAGCAGGTTCCTGATGTGGGATTTTAATGCTGATCTATTAATTCTCCACTGTTAATCTTCCCTTTTTCATGCCTCCCACCCTCCAAGCTCTCGTACCAAACAGGGAAGTGCTTCCAGCCCCCATCACTCAGGGGGATGTTGGATGCCCAGGCAGCTGCAGTGGGCTTGGCAGGCTCTGGGAAATTGGGAGGTGGGTGAAAATCTCACCTGGTGCTCAGCCTGAGATCTGCTGGGGGCCAGCACTCGCTGCCCCTCCCAGCTCACGCTGGTGGTAAAACCAGTGGGAGACAAGGAGGTTTTGACATTGTTGAATCTAAGAGGGAGGTTGGGCAGAAACATTTCTTTCCTGGCCTGGAGACAAGCATTAATATTCGATGTCGTGGGAGTACACTGCTGGTGTGCAAGGGAGAAAGCTGTGGGGGAAAAATGTAAAACATCGGGCAAGGGAGGACTTTGAATTCAGGCGGCCACGCAGGCAGGAGCCCAAATCCCCTGCTGCCTTTGTCAGGAGCTCATCACACTGACATCAACAGTGCCAAGAGATCTGATCTTCCCCTACTCTGAGCTGGCATAACTCCTCTGCTTCCAAGGGAACTTTGCCAGGCCTTGTCCTGGGGGATTTCCCTCCCAGCATAATGAATATTAGCACAGAAGACACAGAACCCTCCCTGGGAGCAGAGGATTAAATGCTCTTTTAATGGGCTGTATGCAGTTCTTTAGCAGCTGACACGGGCACTTGATGGAGCAAAGATTTGACCCAATAAATGGGACTGGAAAGGAAACTTTCTGCAATTAAAATACTGGCAGAATTTTAAAATGCTCGGTGCACTTAGGGAGTCACTGCCTATGGTTGAGAAGGCTCCAGTGGAGTCCCTGGTAGGAGCGTGCTGGGTCCTGTGCTGCATGGTGGTGTCCTGTGAGGAGCTGAAGGATGAGTCCATCCTCTTCCTCACCATCAAATTGGAATTCCAGGGGTTCATGCAAAGGTTTCCTGGGCAGTGAGGGATGCTTGTCCTTAAATGGAGTGTAATGGTAAAATAGAGTCTAATGGTAAAACAGAGTGTTGGGGAGTAGCAGATGGGATCACAAATCAGGGAGCTGAGCTTGGATACACCTGGGAGACTGTGCCAGGTGCACTCCTGTTCTCCTGGCTTCTTGGAAAATCCCAGCCTTGAGCAGTGGCAAAGCTGCTGGAGGGGATAGATCCTGCTCAGAAATCCCTTCTGCTCTGCTCAGCCCTGAAGGGTGCAAAGGCTCTGCCTGGATTCCCACTGGGATCACAGCAAGGAGAGGGAGGATCAGGGCCATAGGATGCTCCTAAAACCCTCACTGTGGGATGGGGATGGATTTCCTCATGCCCTGCCACGGGTGTGACACAGCAGCGATGTGAGCCCGGTGCTGCAGGGACTGTGGCCACCACCCTGCTCTGATCCCTCACCCCCTCTGCAGGGATCTTTGGGAATGTCCAGGGAACAGCAGGGCCCATCCTGGACAAGGGCTGGGTCCCTGCTCTCTGTCTGCCTGACAAAGGGAATGTAACTCTGGGCTTTTTCTGTCCTCACAGAAAGAAACCAGGATGCTCCTTAAGCAAAGGATCTGTGCCCAGGACACCTGATGGAGCATCGTGGATGAGGTGAGTTGTCTCAGCTCCAAAATGAGATTCTGTGCTTTCAGTATGGCCACACAGAGAGGCTCTGGCTTCCACAAGCATTTTGCAATTATTAGACAATAATTCAGGCTCTGTTCATCTCCCCCATACACCAGAAAAACCCAATAATGCTCTCTGCATAGCAGGATAATTACCGTGCTCCCAAGGCTCTTGGGAGAAGTTACCTGTGCTGATGAAATTAAGGGAGCTGAAACCATTCCCCAGGGGTAGGATGGGTCCAGAGGGTGAACAAACCTGTGTGAGATGCTGTACAACACGGAGCTGCACTTCCACCAGCGCCAGCAAACCTTTCCCTGCTGCTGGGAGGGATCTCCATCTCCACCAGCACTTCCAGAGAGGATTCCCTTCTGTTCCCCTCTCAGGGAGGATCCCACCAAAGCTCCTTTCACACTGAGAGCCCCAAGCAGCCATCAGATTCCCCAGAGGGTGCAGCACTGCCCGAGGCAGCTCCAGTTCCATCAGCAGTGTATCCCTGAGGAAATGAAGGGGATGGGCCAGTGATCTCAGTTGCTCTCTTGGAACCATTATTGTTGAACTGGTAAATATTTCCTTTTAAATGCTTACATGCTTTCAAAAAATTTGCAGGGCTTAGTGGGAACAAATATTCCCAGGGGGCTGTATCCTGCCATTCATTTGCACATCAGATCCCTGCTATCTTTAAGAATGGTTCTGTGCATGGGCAGGCGCCTAAGTCATTTGAGAAACAATAACCCTCTGTGCTCTAATTTTCCAGACAAAAATGTAGACAAAACAAGTGGCAATTTGGCACAAACCGAGCCACTTTGATAAATAACCGGGCATTTAAGAGGAGAAGTGTGTAGGCAGCTGGGCTCGGGCTGCCCGAGCTGTCCCAGGGCAGGTGCTGGGCAGCCGGAGCTGAGCCCTGGGTGTCACCCTGGAGATTCCCTCTGCAGCTGGGGGGCTTCCAGGGAATTCTCTAAGCATCCTTTGGGATTTGCTGGAAAGCTGGCGGTTCATCACCGGCTCCTGCAGGATTTTGGGATGAGCTCAGGGCGATTAGCGGGCACGGCGGGAGGGTCAGGACCAGGTCTCTAACCTAGGGAGCGCTGATGTCTCCTAAAACCCTCTGTGCTCGTGGTGGGGAGTGCGGACCACGACAGGAATTTTTAGTAAAGAGAATTAATTCTGCCCTGGCCACTGCACTGGTGAGGGACCATTCCCCGGGAGAGTCCGAACACCCCTGGGCGAGGGGGTGCTGGGGGGCACAGCGGGGGC